AATATCTTTTATTATATAAAATTCATTTATGCTATCATGATCTGTTGCATATGCGTGAAGCGTCGGGAAAGAAGAAATAAAATGATTCGATTTTTTTACCATTATGAAGTTATGTACTGATTATTTAGCTAAGTTGCGAACAATGCCATCTTAACGCTGTACTTTGTTACTATAAATATTATTTGTTTTCATAACTATTAATATTACTTTTATTACTTAAAACTCACCATATTGTCTAGTATCTGACGAGGCCAATTATGACTTCTTTGTGTTAGTGTTTGTTTGCTATAAGCCCGGTGGCCTTTCAAGCTTCTTCGAAAAGCAATTATGATAGTTATAAATTGCTTTATTCTCAATGAAAAACTGACTGTTTAAAAACTTCTACACAAAACGAAAATAAGCAAAAGGTCAGTCAGATACAATTAAGATCACTTTTCTTTGTATAAATTTATCTATTAGAGTTGAATACTTTTCCAAAAAGTACATAACTCATGACTTTCATAATTCACGACTTTTCGACTCATGGCCCTGAATTAAAGCTCGAATTACCATCCTTCAGTATTAGGTATTTAAGTAATCAAATAGTGTGAATGTCTTTTTATGCCCGGTTCCTATATTCAAAAAACGGCGGGTAGTTACATAGTTTGTAAGTAAAGTTTGTTGTAGATAAAAATCGTGTGCGCCCGATTCGTGTATTAACAAAACGAGGCGTTTTCCTTATGAGCCATTGCATTACCTACGGAAAGTGAGTTACTAGTATTCCTTTAACCTACAAGTCGTTATGAAAGTTACGAAGATATGTAACTAACGGCCGTTCGTTGAATATAGAAACTGGGCATTAGTACAAATTCCCCTCCCATACCGTATTTTTAGATAAAGCTCCCGGCCCGTCCAGACAAATAGCGACAATTCTATCATAAGGAAAATTTGAATAATTTATTTCGGACGGTTATGTCATCTCTCCTGCTTTAAGAAAATTTATTGCGTCCGTTGACTTTACAATGACAATGCGAAAATTGAAGTGGCTATGTGCTGCTGGGAACTGCACATATATCTGCAAAGGTCAGCAAACATTAAAAGGGTTTACCTGGAAATTAAAGTCAAAAATAAAAGTTGTGAGCTGGGTACGAACCCCAGTTCGTGAGCACAAGCTACGTACATACATACATACAAGCTTATCGATTAGAAATGAAATGAATGAATGAAATGAAATGAAATATACTTTATTGTACACAACCAACGGATATTGAAGAATCAACTAAAATAATACAAAACTGTACAATAGGCGGCCTTATCGCTAGGAAGCGATTTCTTCCAGGCAACCTAGTAAAAGGAAATAGTAAAAACAGTAGCATTGGGTAACGGTGTACACTGAATTAATAAGAGAAACTTATAAGTCAAAATATAAATACATATTAATAAATTATACATAAATACACATGCAAACACGATATATAAATATATACGTTATAAATAATGTATAAGTATTTAGATATAAGTTGACAACATCGAGGAATGGAACACAATGATTAAGGAGGCATAAAATGTTTTCTTAAAAGTCGCTTGAAAATAGGTAGGGATTGTGCCCGCCTAATATGTAGTGGGAGAGAGTTCCAGAGCCGAACAGCTTCCACAGAAAAGGATTTGGAGTAGAAAGATGTACTATGGGGAGGAATTCTGAGGATTAAATTGTCATCGGAGCGGAGAGATCGATCTGGGTGAGAATCACAAAGATACTCAAATCGCTTCTTAAGATAAGGAGGGGTGGTTGGATTGAATAGAACAGAGTATAAGAGCGAAAGAAGGTGAGTATTCCTGCGAAGGCGGATTGGAAGCCACTTGAGCTTATTTCGGAATTCAGAAATGTGGTCATATTTACGAAGTCCAAATATGAACCGTATGCAAAGATTTTGGATGCGCTCAAGTTTATTAAGTTGTTCAACGCTTAAGTCTAAGTAACATGTATCGGCATAATCTAGAATTGGTAAGAGGAGAGATTCCGCGAGCGCAATTTTGGTAGGTATAGGTAAGAAGTAACTCAATCTACGAAGAGAATTAACTGCTGCAAACATCCTTCTACTCACTTCACTAACCTGAGGAACCCAAGAGAGAAATTTATCAAACACAACACCTAGATTTTTAACCGTATCGCTATATTGCAATTGGACCCCGTCAAAAACTATACAAGGAAGATTAGCCCAGTCAATACGTGAAACCAATCTTTGGCTGCCTATAATAATAGCTTGTGTTTTAGATGGATTTACCTTCAGTCCATAAGAATTGCTCCATTCTACAATGGTGTTTAGGTCTTTATTAACTGCATCTATTGTCATGGTTAAATCTGGTAATTTGGATTGAGCGTAGACTTGGAGATCATCAGCATACAGATGGTAGAGAGAAGTTAAATGTTGAGTGATTGAACTAATGAAGATTGAGAATAGGAGAGGAGACAACACGCCACCTTGCGGTACCCCGGCATTTATCGGACTCCAGTCCGAATACTTCTCCTCGATCTTAATCCGTTGCCGGCGCCCGTGCAAGTAACTGTGAAACCAGTCAACGACCTTAGGAGATATGTTTAGAGAAGTGAGAATGGCTAAAAGTAGCTCATAATCAACATTATTGAAAGCGTTGCTGAAATCTAGTAAAGTCAATACTGTTACACACTGGTTATCCATACCGAACCGGATATCATCAGTAATTTTTACTAATGCAGTAGTCGTACTATGACCAGAACGGAAACCGGATTGAAACGGATTTAAAAGGTTGGATTTGGAAAGAAATACAGTCAATTGTTTATGAACAATGCGTTCAAAAACTTTTGATAGAAATGGTAAAATGGAAATAGGCCGATAATCAGAGAAACTGGAAGGATTCGTTTTTTTAGGAAGAGGAATTATCTGTGCATCCTTCCAGGAAGTAGGGAAGCAACCGCTATTGATGGAATGATTAAAGATGGACACAATGACAGGAGTTAGAAAATCGAGAAGAGGAGTGATCATTTTACGACTAATGCAGTCAGAACCAACAGCATCAGAGCTAGCTTCCATAATACTTCTCTTAACATCACTGCAGTCGATTTGACTAAATACGAAAGCGGGATCATCAGGGGTGGGTAAAGCTAAAATTTTATTTTTAGTATTCTGTTTTAAGGTACTATCAATAGTACAAAATGAGGAAAAATGCTGATTGAGCTTATTTAAATCGAAGGTACTATAATTTGAGGGACAATTTCTATTTGCTTTCCCAACCCCAAGGGATTTCAGAAATTTCCATACTCTTCCGGAATCTTTTTCTTCGAGTACAGATTTATGGATATGGCGTCGTTGTTCATCTCTACACAATCTGTTGCATCGATTCCGAATGCTTGTGTATTTAATGCGGTTGGTTTCACTGGCGTTGGTTTTATATTTAGCTTTGGCTATATTCTTTTTGTGTTGTAGCGTTTTTATATCCTCAGTTAGCCAAGGAGCAGGAAGATGTTTAATTCTTACTGGGCGTATTGGAGCGTGGGTATCATAAAGCTTCATTAAAAGAGAGTTAAAAATTTCAACCCGTTCATCAGTATTGTCCCCAGTAAGGACTTCAGCCCAGTCAATCTGAGATGCATCCTCTCGCAGAAGATCAAGGTTCATACCACCAAAATTACGTTGGAGAAGAATTCTAGATTTAGCTTTGGGTGGGCGTATTTTATAGGATAAATATAGCAAATCATGGTAAGAAAAGGCATCTGCAGGACATTGACCATGTTTCAATACAAAGTCTACTGAGGAAACTAGAATAAGATCAAGGAGAGATGGAGAACAATTTGGGAAGTTGTGCGTTGCCGATAGAGGAAGAATATGTAGATTTGCTGCCTTGACTAAAGAATTGAGACGGAATGCATGAGAGTCATTTTTTTAACAGGCAAGTATTAAAATCACCCATAATAATCGAGTGCTCATATTGTGGGATAAACATGTCTAACAGATTTTCGAGTCCTGTAAAATAATCTATTGTGAGACTAGGGTTATAATACACACCGAGCAGTAATTTCAGGTTGGATAACATAACCTCGATAAGTAAATGCTCCGCCCCTGGTATAGCCTGTTCTTGCGATACACTGATCAAGTTAAAAGGTATGTGGGATCGAAGATAAATGCCAACACCTCCGCCAACCCTACTGTTCCGATCATTTCGTATGAGGTGAAAACCAGGAAGAGCATAAGATGTGGAGGATAAACCATGTTTCGGAGATTAGAATAGCATGGATGTTCTTGTTATCAAAAGACGAAAGCATATCTGGAAAATGTGCAGGAATACTCTGAGCATTAATATGAACAACATTAAAATTTTTCAGAACATCTGAGAAATGTAAATCAAGGGTTTCAGAAAGAGAAGGGAGACTATGGAAACTGCCGTTACTACTCAATCCATCAGTGGAGGAAAATGAGAAAAAGGAGTCGTCCGAGCTTATATCTTTAAATAACATGAATATATAAACATAAACAAATAATATACTATAACAATAAATTACCTATATAAACTACTACGCAAATTTGTAAGCTTTTATACCTACCAACAAGTTTTTAGTTTTTACACATTCAATCGAAGTATACACATTGCCAGCAAAGAAAAATAAAATTCAAGGTCATCATAACACGATTAGAAAAAATATATAGAAAAAAAAAAATCCTAATAAACTTCACTATAACATACATATGTATAGTGAAAGATAATATTTTACAACGAACCTATGATAATGAATAGGATGAATGAAGAAATCCCAATCCAATATAATAATAGGCTGTATGGAGAAGTCCCAATCCGTTAGAATATAATAATATAAAATGTCATATCAAGTTGACAATTGACATTGCTTTAAAATTAAAAGTACTTAACCTTAAAACTAAAACAATACATTACAATAAAATATAACAAAAAGAAGTTAAACAGTGCAATGATCATAATGAGAAGAATGTTTTAAGTAAAGGACAAATTCACATTACCGCAATAAACTACTTCTTAATTACTCGCTTGGGGCGCATAACAATAGTCTTAGTATTTGGGCTCTTAGAACAAGATTCTAATATCTGTACTGGTGAATTCGCTGCAAGAGGCTTAGACGAAGACGATGCAACATTTATAACATCAAGCTCGTTTAAAGATTCTACTCGATGGCGAACTCCATCCGAGCTAATTACGTATATGCATCCATCGCGAGTCCAGCAATTTGTCACGCCAAAACGCTTCCGAGCCTCAAACTTAGTTTTCGCGAACCACACTTTGTCACGGACAGAAACTACGGCGAACTTTACAACTACCGGCCTAGCTCTGCTTTCCGATGTGCGGCCAAGGCGATAGCTGGACTTGATGCTGGTACTTGAAAAATTAGGCAGATTCAGATGTTCAGCAACAGCTGTGGTTACACGACCGATAAGGTCTTCTGATTTCACCTCGGGAATTCCATGGAAGAGCAAGATCTTACGCCTCCTTCGCATCTCCTGACGATCCATTTCCAGTCTAAGAAACTCCATTTGTTGCTGCAGGGTGTTTAATGCGGTTACAATAAAAGTTTTGAAGGACACAAAATCAGATGCTATCGATGAAGTTGTTGCAGATGTCTTGCTAGCAGAGTTCTTTTCCAAATCACGCTGAAATTCGTCCATTTTTGCATAGAACATCACAGACATTGCAGAAAATGACTGTTTTAGTGAATCCATGCTGTCAGATAATCACTAGTGAATGTTTATGTTAACAAGTAAAAGTTAGAGGATTCTATCTTGCCGGTTGGTACTATCACTCAAATGTTCATTATATATGTAAATAAAAATGTTTTAAACTCAAATATTACTATTATTTTAAATTAAAAATATAGAGACTGTTTCTAACATGTGTTACTTATGTCACACCTACCCTCCTAATGATTAGCAATTTCACCAAACGACGGGTTGGTCATCATCTAATGTCGACTGGAACTTACTATGTGAAGGCTATTATGGTTCCGTACCCAAAGATTTACCGTACACAAAGATGTCCAATTAAGACTACGGACGGGAGACTACGGGACCCTATTACTAAGACCCCACGACCCTATTACTAAGACTCCACTGTGTGTCTGTCACCAGGCTGTTGTACTTGATGAACCGTGATAGTTAGACACCTGAAATTTTCACAGAATTCTGTTGCCGCTATAACGAGAAATACTAAGAGTATGATTTTTGCCATTTTTGAAGATAATGGTACGGAACCCTTTGTGGGCGAGTCCAACTCGGACTTGGCTAGTTTTTATGTCTACCGATCGACACTGAGCTAAATTGATAGCTTAGTGCATAGGGACTCGCGTTTAATTTCATAATACTATTATTATTACTATACAATTATTACTATATAATTACTCGAGTAACCCGAGTGCCGGCACCAATGAAGTTTTGAACTTAAGTGGTAACTTATCACGTGCTTCGCGGTGGAAAGGAGGAAAACATCGTGAGGAAACCTGCAGATTTTCGAAATAATAACAATATATATATATATATATATATATTTCGAAGATATGTGAAGTTTGCCAAGCCGCAGATACCCTCTGTACAGAGGAGGCCTTTGCCCAGCGGTGGGACATGTATATATAAATCTTTATTTATTCTGTTTGATTCTTGTTAAAGTATCTTTAACCCTGACCATGTTTCAACGATATAGCGATTAGGTTTTCAACTTAATACTGCCGTTAACCAATTAGTAAATTGAAAATTCGTGATATTACGATATTGACGTTACTCATATTAATTCTGAAATTAAAAACGTATGTCTTACCTACACAAATTGCTAACTAAGCTACCAAGCCTAGTAAGT